TGCACATGCCCACGCCCACGCACATGCACATGCCCACGCCCACGCACATGCACATGCACATGCCCACGCACATGCCCACGCCCATGCACATGCCCACGCACATGCCCACGCACATGCCCACGCACATGCCCACGCACATGCCCACGCCCATGCACATGCACATGCACATGCACATGCCCACGCACATGCACATGCACATGCCCACGCCCACGCACATGCACATGCCCACGCCCACGCACATGCACATGCACATGCCCACGCACGTGCACATGCCCACGCACATGCACATGCACATGCCCACGCACATGCCCACGCCCATGCACATGCCCACGCACATGCCCACGCACATGCCCACGCACATGCCCACGCACATGCCCACGCCCATGCACATGCACATGCCCACGCCCACGCACATGCACATGCCCACGCCCACGCACATGCACATGCACATGCCCACGCACATGCACATGCACATGCCCACGCCCACGCACATGCACATGCACATGCCCACGCCCACGCACATGCACATGCCCACGCCCACGCACATGCACATGCACATGCCCACGCACATGCACATGCCCACGCACATGCACATGCACATGCACATGCCCACGCACATGCCCACGCCCATGCACATGCCCACGCACATGCCCACGCACATGCCCACGCACATGCCCACGCACATGCCCACGCACATGCCCACCCCCATGCACATGCACATGCACATGCACATGCCCACGCACAAGCACATGCAGATGCCCACGCCCACGCACATGCACATGCCCACACCCACGCACATGCACATGCACATGCCCACGCACATGCACATGCCCACGCACATGCACATGCACATGCACATGCCCACGCACATGCCCACGCCCATGCACATGCCCACGCACATGCCCACGCACATGCCCACGCACATGCCCACGCACATGCCCATGCCCATGCACATGCACATGCCCACGCCCACGCACATGCACATGCCCACGCCCAAGCACATGCACATGCACATGCCCACGCACATGCACATGCACATGCCCACGCACATGCACATGCACATGCCCACGCCCACGCACATGCACATGCCCACGCCCACGCACATGCACATGCACATGCCCACGCACATGCACATGCCCACGCACATGCACATGCACATGCACATGCCCACGCACATGCCCACGCCCATGCACATGCCCACGCACATGCCCACGCACATGCCCACGCACATGCCCACGCACATGCCCACGCCCATGCCCACGCCCATGCCCACGCACATGCCCACGCACATGCCCACGCACATGCCCACGCCCATGCCCACGCACATGCCCACGCACATGCCCACGCACATGCCCACGCACATGCCCACGCACATGCCCACGCACATGCCCACGCACATGCCCACGCCCATGCCCACGCCCATGCCCACGCACATGCCCACGCACATGCCCACGCACATGCCCACGCCCATGCCCACGCACATGCCCACGCACATGCCCACGCACATGCCCACGCACATGCCCACGCACATGCCCACGCACATGCCCACGCACATGCCCACGCACATGCCCACGCACATGCCCACGCACATGCCCACGCACATGCCCACGCACATGCCCACGCACATGCCCACGCACATGCCCACGCACATGCCCACGCACATGCCCACGCACATGCCCACGCACATGCCCACGCCCATGCCCACGCCCACGCACATGCACATGCCCACGCCCACGCACATGCACATGCACATGCCCACGCACATGCACATGCCCACGCACATGCACATGCACATGCACATGCCCACGCACATGCCCACGCCCATGCACATGCCCACGCACATGCCCATGCACATGCCCACGCACATGCCCACGCACATGCCCACGCCCATGCCCACGCCCATGCCCACGCACATGCCCACGCACATGCCCACGCACATGCCCACGCCCATGCCCACGCACATGCCCACGCCCATGCCCACGCACATGCCCACGCACATGCCCACGCACATGCCCACGCACATGCCCACGCACATGCCCACGCACATGCCCACGCACATGCCCACGCACATGCCCACGCACATGCCCACGCACATGCCCACGCACATGCCCACGCACATGCCCACGCATATGCCCACGCACATGCCCACGCACATGCCCACGCACATGCCCACGCACATGCCCACGCCCATGCCCACGCACATGCCCACGCCCATGCCCACGCCCACGCACATGCACATGCCCACGCCCACGCACATGCACAGGCACATGCCCACGCACATGCACATGCCCACGCACATGCCCACGCACATGCCCACGCCCACGCACATGCCCACGCCCACGCACATGCACATGCCCACGCCCACGCACATGCACATGCACATGCCCACGCACATGCACATGCCCACGCACATGCACATGCACATGCACATGCCCACTCCCATGCCCACGCCCACGCACATGCCCATGCCCACGCCCACGCACATGCACATGCACATGCCCACGCACATGCACATGCCCACGCACATGCACATGCACATGCACATGCCCACGCACATGCCCACGCCCATGCACATGCCCACGCCCACGCACATGCACATGCCCACGCCCACGCACATGCACATGCACATGCCCACGCACATGCACATGCCCACGCACATGCACATGCACATGCACATGCCCACGCACATGCCCACGCCCATGCACATGCCCACGCACATGCCCACGCACATGCCCACGCACATGCCCACGCACATGCCCACGCACATGCCCACGCCCATGCCCACGCCCATGCCCACGCACATGCCCACGCACATGCCCACGCACATGCCCACGCCCATGCCCACGCACATGCCCACGCACATGCCCACGCACATGCCCACGCCCATGCCCACGCACATGCCCACGCACATGCCCACGCACATGCCCACGCCCATGCCCACGCCCACGCACATGCACATGCCCACGCCCACGCACATGCACATGCACATGCCCACGCACATGCACATGCCCATGCCCATGCACATGCCCACGCACATGCCCACGCCCATGCCCATGCACATGCCCACGCACATGCCCACGCACATGCCCACGCCCATGCCCACGCCCATGCCCACGCACATGCCCACGCACATGCCCACGCACATGCCCACGCCCATGCCCACGCACATGCCCACGCACATGCCCACGCACATGCCCACGCCCATGCCCACGCACATGCCCACGCACATGCCCACGCACATGCCCACGCCCATGCCCACGCCCACGCACATGCACATGCCCACGCCCACGCACATGCACATGCACATGCCCACGCACAGGCACATGCCCACGCACATGCACATGCACATGCACATGCCCACGCACATGCCCACGCCCATGCACATGCCCACGCACATGCCCACGCACATGCCCACGCACATGCCCACGCACATGCCCACGCCCATGCCCACGCCCATGCCCACGCACATGCCCACGCACATGCCCACGCACATGCCCACGCCCATGCCCACGCACATGCCCACGCACATGCCCACGCACATGCCCACGCACATGCCCACGCACATGCCCACGCACATTCCCATGCACATGCCCACGCACATGCCCACGCACATGCCCACGCACATGCCCACGCACATGCCCACGCACATGCCCACGCACATGCCCACGCACATGCCCACGCCCATGCCCACGCCCACGCACATGCACATGCCCACGCCCACGCACATGCACATGCACATGCCCACGCACATGCACATGCCCACGCACATGCACATGCACATGCACATGCCCACGCACATGCCCACGCCCATGCACATGCCCACGCACATGCCCATGCACATGCCCACGCACATGCCCACGCACATGCCCACGCCCATGCCCACGCCCATGCCCACGCACATGCCCACGCACATGCCCACGCACATGCCCACGCACATGCCCACGCACATGCCCACGCACATGCCCACGCACATGCCCACGCACATGCCCACGCACATGCCCACGCACATGCCCACGCACATGCCCACGCACATGCCCACGCCCATGCCCACGCCCATGCCCACGCACATGCCCACGCACATGCCCACGCCCATGGCCACGCACATGCCCACGCCCATGCCCACGCCCATGCCCACGCACATGCCCACGCACATGCCCACGCACATGCCCACGCACATGCCCACGCACATGCCCACGCACATGCCCACGCACATGCCCACGCACATGCCCACGCACATGCCCACGCACATGCCCACGCACATGCCCACGCACATGCCCACGCACATGCCCACGCACATGCCCACGCACATGCCCACGCACATGCCCACGCACATGCCCACGCCCATGCCCACGCTCATGCCCACGCACATGCCCACGCACATGCCCACGCACATGCCCACGCACATGCCCACGCACATGCCCACGCACATGCCCACGCACATGCCCACGCACATGCCCACGCACATGCCCACGCACACGCACACGCGCACGCACACGCACACGCACACGGCCACACACAGGCACACGCACACGCACACGCACAGGCACAGGCACATGCACATGCACATGCACACGCACACGCACACGCACAGGCACAGGCACATGCACATGCACATGCACACGCACACGCACACGGCCACACACATGCGGGTGAGTGTAATGTGGGAGGAACGGGGGAGGAGGTGACCCGTGGAGCATGGAGACTGAGAAGTGCTCGGCCCCTGAATGAGTGGCGCCCTGTGAGGGGCTGGCCTTGGTAGCACGGCGCTGATGGGCATGGCCCAGGTGGCAGGAGAGGGCAGTGGGGCGGGGGTACCTGGTAATCATCAGTGAGCAGCACGTTGGAGGGCTTGATGTCACGGTGCACGGTGGGGCGCTCCGTGTGGTTGTGCAGGTACACCAGCCCCTCCGCTAGGCCTATGGCCGCCTCCAACCTCTGCTCAAACGACAGCAGCTGCCCTGCTGCCACCCATCCCCCACACACACGGCCACCGCATCACATCACACAGGGGGATGGTAGACACGGGATGCACAGTGGTGCAGTGGGACGTGGAGGAACAAGGTACATGCCAGGCACGACATGACCAGCTGAGCAAGCGAGGGCAGGATGCGGTGAGGGGAGGAGGAAACCCGAGAGGAAGCAGATGAGGCGAGGGGAGGTTGCGCGGTGGAGGGCGGACCTTTGATGGTGCCGTAGAGGTGGTCGGAGAGGGGTCCGTTGGGCACGTACTCGTACACGAGCACCTGCTCCATGTGGTCGTTGCAGTAGCCCAGCAGGCGCACCAGGTTCTTGTGGTACAGCCTCGACACTGCTTTCACCTGCACCCCACACATGCCCCACACATGCCCCACCACACAGGCAGGAGCATTCATACATCGTGGAGGTGGAAAGCGGCAACAGGAAGCAGGCGAAACGAGAGCAAGGGAAACGAGGGTGCAGAGCAACGAAGAGAGCATGGAGTGCATGTGGGGGGGAGTCTCACCTCCTCCTCGAACATGGTGGCTATCTTGGAGGAGCGCTCCACAAAGGCCGCATGCTTGACGGCTATGAGCTGGTCCGGTGCATCCCCCTGCCCCAGGTACACGGTGCCAAAGCCCCCCTTGCCCAGCTTCCTGGCGTCGCTGAAGCTGTCCGTGGCGTCCATGATCTCCCTCCACGTGTACTTGCGGAAGCCCCGGTCCAACTCCCGCTCCCATGCTGCCACCCCCCACACATGCATGCACGCATACACGCACACCCGCACGCACGCACACATGCACACACAAGCACACCCAGGACAGGAACAACACGAAAGCAAGGCTTGGGGTTGCATGCCAACAATTTTTGAGAGGCTGGGCAAAAGAGAGGAACGAGTTTTGATGAAGTAAGAAGAATTCATCAGCTCTTTTAGAACAAGAAGAAGGTATACACAGTCCTGGGAAGAAAGGGAGAAGTTAGTTGGGCTTGTGGCAAAGATTATTGGGCCCCACCAGCAAGTTGGGTTTGAAGTTATTGGGGGTTTCCAATAATCTCCGATATCTCCCAACCCAACCTTGGATATACGACTATGTTGCACTATACGCTAAGGCTTCGACGCGTATCACGTTTGTACGGAAACGTATATACGAAAAAACGTGATACGTCCATAATACGCGATACGGCTAGGTCGGGCAGCCCGAAAAAAAAAACTCAAAACTATGTTCCGCCGTTCTCGCGATCTGCGATTCTGTGAAACCTAAATTTGACATAAAAGACTCGGATTGATCCCCCACCCCCCTTTTCCACTGCACATCACCGCACACCACCCCCCAAACCCAACTTTTCCCTCCCACCCACCACTAGCAGCTGGCAGCTTTCCGTACAACAGCCTTTTGTATCTCAATTGTCTCACACCTATTTTACTCTACGATGTAGCTTCAAACAGCTATGTCGACCGCCAATGCCGCATCTGTTATTGCTAATTGTGGCTTAAGCGTCACATTGCAGGATATTCGCGGCCGAAATTTCAGGGCGATTCTGGCCAACGATCCCTCAAACATTTCAGAGTTCCTTATCGCAAAAACGCCCAGGAGATTATCCGCATCAGCGAGCATCTAGGAAAAAAAACACTCCTGAAAGATTCTACCTCCACTGAAGTGTTTTATCCCTGCCCGATGAATCTTTTTGCCTGCCCGACACTCCGTATTTCGGGTTTTATTGTACGCTGGAAGTCAGCGTATCACGAATGTACGGTAGCGTATAGTTCGAACGCGTACCGTACGCTGGTCGCGTATTTTGCAACATAGATATACGAATGTTTGAGCAGAGGTTGGAATGGCAACCCCAATTAGGGTAAAAAGTTGTTTTACACCCAAACTAAGTTTGGGTGCCTAACTCACCATCATAGCATGTTTGCATGACGCAACGAGAGGATGATGATCCGAGACAAGTGAGAGGAGGGAGGGGTATGGGGGAAAGCAGAGAGCAGCACTGACCCTGTATGCGGCCTGGGCCAAATCTGTAATACCAAATGTAGAGTGCGAGAGCCAGCACTGCCAGCAGCGCCACAGAGCACCCCACAGCAATTCCTGCTATCACTGCCGGCGACATGCCTGTGCGGGGAGTAGGCAGAACACACAGTCAGGCAAGGCGCAAGCAAGGGAGGCATGGCAGGGGCGAGGCAAGCACAAGGCAGTCGTGCAGAGAGGGGAGTGGAGCACGTAAGGCATGCGCACCTGGAGCACAGGCGGAGCAGTACTGCGGGCAGAAGTTGACACAGAAGGGCAGGTCCTGGATGGGGCTGCCCATGGGGCAGCACAAGTCGGGGGACGGGCAGGCGAACTGAAGGCGCGATGCCGCACTGGCAGGGGCACACAGAGGGGCGGGGGCAGGGCATGGGGGGCAGTGGCAGGCGTGCAGGGTTGAGAAGACGCACGCCTGCAATGGAGCGTGCACGGATGGGGTGAGGGCGGATCACAGTGCACGAACAAGAGCTCTTGCGGGAGTAGGGGGAGCGGTGAGTTGCGAACAAGGGGCGGAACGGGGAGAAGAAGAGGCAGTGGCGGTGGGTGCAACGAGGGGCGCACATGGTTCCCAGGGAGATGATGTTAGCCCAGCACGCTGGCAGTGTGCCGTTGAGCTTGGGGTTGCCAATGAGCGAGCTGCCATACAGGCGGGGAGGGGCATAGCACAGGGGCACGGTGGCAGTCCATGGGATGCACAGTGATGCCGTGCCTGGCAGCAGAGCGGGCAGTGCAGCAGGGTGTGCACGAAAGTGTGAGGTATAAGCATGGTGCGGTGTACATGCGGTGTAGTGCGTGTGTGCGTACAACTGACATCTCAATGAGGTTGGTGAGGTTCCCCATTGACTCTGGCACTGCCCCAGCCAGATCGTTGTTGCGGAAGTGCCTGAGGGCACGCAGCACACAGCACCACACAACAGCACACCGACGCAACGTGACGTGAGCAACAGCACATGGCTTGGGGAACGATAATCGATTCGTTACTTGGCATAAATCAACCCTGCTTCCTCACTCTCTTCTTCCCCCCTCCCTTTCCCACCACACGCCCGTTGACCCTGCCTCCCTCAGGGCGCCGTGGGTGTCCCCAGGCCCCACGTACAGGTACTGCATGCGCGTGAGCAGCCCCAGCCACGTGGGCAGCGGGCCGTACAGCTGCATGTCCCTCAGGTCGCTGCGCCCCAGGGGAGTGCGCGGGGGGAACACGAGCACAAGGGAAGGGCGGGAGAGCAGAGAGCAGCATGTGAGGAGGCGAAGATGGACCGCACATAAGGAGGGTGGGTGGCGAATGAGGGCAGCAAGCGAGGGGCAGAGGGTGGTGAGGCGGGGCAAGCAGCGGTCATACAGGTGGGTGAGGTTGCGCAGCTGGCTGTAGCTCTGAGGCAGCGTGCCATGCAGCTTGTTGGAATAAATCTTCCTGATGCCCTCACACATGTGGTTGGGGTGATAGCACAGCGCGAGAGGAACAGACTCAGGGAGGAACAGAGTGAGGGTGGAATAACATTTGAAGCCGCTGGCATGTTCCCATACTAACTGGTGCACGTGGCATCCATGATAGCCTCCTTCACTGCATGCATGTGCCAGGGTTGATAGCGATCGTGGTGGTGCATGCCTCGTGCATAGGAGAGTGGGTCATGGGTGCATTTATGCATGGAGGCATCTGGCTGATTGCACAGGAGCATGCATGCATGCATGCATGGGAGCATGGGAGAGCGGGTTACAGGAACGCGAGTTGAGTCATGTCCCCAAGAAACGCAGGGAAGGGTCCCGCGAACGAGTTGTTGCTGGCGTAGCTGTGCGGGCGGGAGGGAGGGAGAGAGAGCGAGATTGAGTATGTGAGTGAGTGCGTGTGTGTGTGTGAGAGAGTCGAACGAAGGAGCAGCGCAGGCAGTGACAGGTGGCACCAGTTACCAACTCACTACCGATGACATGACACGGCAGTGCTCAGCTCTGCACCGGCATTGTGAGTGTCGCTTGTTTCCATACGCACAAAAATACTGACAGCCTTGTTGCGGTCCATACAATAATTCAGAACCTCAGAACCATAACACCTAGGACAACCACAGTGGACACAGTGACACAACAGTAATGCAGCGGCATGAGCCAGGGCGTGGGCACCGCAAGAGAACAAGGCGGGCGGGAGGAGGGCTGGCGGGTGGGGGGGAGGGCTGGCGGGTGGGGGGGAGGGCTGGCGGGTGGGGGGGAGGGCTGGCGGGTGGGGGGGAGGGCTGGCGGGTGGGGGGGAGGGCTGGCGGGTGGGCGGGAGGGCTGACGGGTGGGGGGGAGGGCTGGCGGGTGGGTACATCATGGTGAGGTTGGTGAGGGCGGTGATGACCGATGGGAAGGGCCCTGAGAAGCTGTTCTTGTTCATCTGCCTGCATGGGGGCAGGGGGGCAGTGCAGAGAGGAGAGAAGGAAATGAGGTTCAAGGAGAGACGGGTGTGAAGTGAGGTGCATGGGGTACACATGCACAGCACGGTGGGTTTTGTGACATGCACAAGGGGCACGCAGTGCTCATCCACCATGCCACCAGCACGCACGGCACATGGGTGCAGCGTGATGTGCATGGGTGCAGCGTGATGTGCATGCGTGCAGGTGGAAAGGGAGGTGGGGGCCGTACAGCTCATGGAGGGAGGAGAGCAGGCTGAGGGTAGCGGGGGGGGAGCCGTTGAACTTGTTGTTGCTCACCTGACTGCCCAGGGAGGGAGGAGGACGAACATGAGACACACCATACGAATGTACGATGCGGGGATTAATGAATTGGAAGATAGAGGGTGCACAAGTCACACAGGTGGTAGACAAGGAGAACGATGTAAAAGAGAGAGCGCATGCATGGCATGGCGATGAGAGGATGCAACGGACAGTGTGAAGAGGTTGGTGAGCGCGCCCACTTGGGAGGGCAGGGTGCCGGACAGCTGGTTGCCGTCCATGTAGCTGCATGCAAAGGCGCGGCAGGAGAGAGAGTGGCAGGAGGACACATGGATATCAAGTCACACATGGATATCAAGTCACACATGATGACGGAGGAGGTCACAACGCGGTAGAGAGACTCAGGAGCTTAGTCATGGAACAGCGGCCATGCGATGAAGCATGGGTAGACATGAGGAGAAGGCAGAAGAAGAGGAGGATGAGGAGGAAGAGGAGGAGGAGGAGGAGGAGGAGGAGGAGGACGAGGAGGAGGAGGAGGAGGAGGAGGAGGAGGAGGAGGAGGAGGAGGAGGAGGAGGAGGAGGAGGAGGGGGGGGGGGGTGGAGTGGAGGAGGAGTAAGAGGAAGTTGAGGAGAATCACAGAGAGGTATTGCAAGAGGAGAGAGGGAGTGAAATAACCAAAGAGGTGACGAGATAGGTAAGAATATTACAGGCTGCTGAGGCTGGTGAGGGAGAAGAGCGAGGAAGGCAAGGAGCCACTGAAGACATTGCGCTGCACATCTCTGTGTGCACACACGCCCCATGCACACACGCCCCATGCACACACGCCCTTTGCACACACGCCCCATGCACACACGCCCCATGCACACACGCCCCATGCACACACGCCCCATGCACCCACGCCCCATGCACACACGCCCCATGCACACACGCCCCATGCACCCACGCCCCATGCACACACGCCCCATGCACACACGCCCCATGCACACACGCCCCATGCACACACGCCCCATGCACCCACGCCCCATGCACACACGCCCCATGCACACACGCCCCATGCACCCACGCCCCATGCACACACGCCCCATGCACACACGCCCCATGCACACACGCCCCATGCACCCACGCCCCATGCACCCACGCCCCATGCACACACGCCCCATGCACCCACGCCCCATGCACCCACGCCCCATGCACACACGCCCCATGCACACACGCCCCATGCACACACGCCCCATGCACACACGCCCCATGCACACACGCCCCATGCACCCACGCCCCATGCACACACGCCCCATGCACACACGCCCCATGCACCCACGCCCCATGCACCCACGCCCCATGCACCCACGCCCCATGCACACACGCCCCATGCACCCACGCCCCATGCACCCACGCCCCATGCACCCACGCCCCATGCACACACGCCCCATGCACCCACGCCCCATGCACCCACGCCCCATGCACACACGCCCCATGCACACACGCCCCATGCACCCACGCCCCATGCACACACGCCCCATGCACCCACGCCCCATGCACACACGCCCCATGCACACACGCCCCATGCACCCACGCCCCATGCACACACGCCCCATGCACACACGCCCCATGCACCCACGCCCCATGCACCCACGCCCCATGCACCCACGCCCCATGCACACACGCCCCATGCACCCACGCCCCATGCACACACGCCCCATGCACCCACGCCCCATGCACCCACGCCCCATGCACCCACGCCCCATGCACCCACGCCCCATGCACACACGCCCCATGCACACACGCCCCATGCACACACGCCCCATGCACCCACGCCCCATGCACACACGCCCCATGCACACACACATGCACATGCACACACGCACATGCACATCCACACATGCGCGTCCACACATCCACATGCACATGCACATGCACATGCACACATGCACATTCCCACACGCCTATGCACACACGCCCATGCACACATGCAAGGACAGTCGCCGTAGGGAGGATGAGTGGCAGCATTGAAGGCAGGTGCGATGCAGAACCATGGTGTCTACTGAAGGAGATACGGAGCAGGAGAACGGATGAAAGTCGAGGTGGGAATAGAAAGTGAGGAGTAGGCATGTCTGTGTGCGCGTCTGTGTGCTGTGCGAATATGTGTGCATGGGTGCATGATATGTGTACGTGTACGTGTATGTGTATGTGTACGTGTATGTGTATGTGTACGTGCACGTGTATGTGTATGTGTATGTGTATGTGTATGTGTATGTGTATGTGTGTATGAGTCTGCGTGTGTGTGCATGTGCATGTGTGTGCTGTGCATATGTGAGTGTGTTCATGCGAGAGTATGGGCACATGTCACCACGGACAATTGAAGAAGGCTGGAGAGGCTGGAGAGGGCGTCGGGCAGGGATCCATTGAAGGCGTTGCTGTTCAGCACCCTGCAGCGCAGCAGCACGCATGGCAGTGCACAGTGGTGGACGTGGTGGGGCCCATGGCTGCGGGGCAAGAGGGTGGACGATGGGCACAGCGCTGCAAGCGAGGAAGCAGATGCGGTGTAGGAGGGATGTTGTGTGGGAGCATGCAGTTGACAGGGTCCAGGTGCAAGACAGGTGTGCGGGCTCACAGCGATTTCAATCTGGCGAGGTTGCTGATGCTAGAAGGAATGGTGTTATTGAGGCTGTTGTAACTCAGGTCCCTGCACCATGCACCATGCACCATGCACCATGCACCATGCACCATGCACCAAGCACCATGCACCATGCACCATGCACCATGCACCATGCACCAAGCACCATGCACCATGCACCATGAAGCATACAGGATGCAACACGGCCCAAACACAGCAATGGGCGAGGTGAAGCGTGCAGTGATGTAAATGCGTGCACACGTCAAATGGAGCAGCAGCATGGGAGGAAGAGCTGGGGTGAAACACGGCTGGTTGCAGGAGAGAAGTGCTGGGAGGACACAGTGCGCATGGTGGGTTGTTGTGAGAGCAGCTAGTGCGCACTCACAGGAGAGTGAGTGCTGTGAGGTCGCCTATCTCCACAGGCAGCGGCCCTGACAGGTTTGTCCTGCTCAGTGACCTGCACGCCACAACACACACCAACACAGCACGCCAGCATGGCGCGGCACAATGGAAAGAGCCTTGGCGTCTTATTTGCAAACGGGGGTACGAGGTAGGTGGCGAGCAGCCTGTGGTGCACGAACTGTCACGGGTGCCCTGATTGACAGAGTCATGCATGGAGCGACCAACAGAGTCACGCGCTGCGTGGGGGGTTCCAAGCGCGGTGCGGCGTGCAGCGGTGGGAATGCGTGCATGCAGGCATGATGAGGGCAGCGCAAGGGGCTGTCACTGAATCAGATGACGCAGCGACAGGGAGGACGAGGTGGGATGAAACATGGTTGGCCGGCAGCGCGAGATGGTGGAAGGAAGCAGCTGGTGATTGAAAGAAAAAGAAGCGCGCACTGACAGGAGAGTGAGTGCTGTGAGGACGCCTATCTCCGCAGGCAGCGGCCCCAATGACATGTTTGTCCTGTTCAGTGACCTGCACGCCACAAACACACACCAGCCAACACAGCATGGCAGCACGGCAGCGCGGCAGCATGGCAGCGACACAATGAAAAGAGCCTTGCGGTCACATAGGCACACAGGGCACGAGGTGCGGAGCAACCTATGCTGCACGTACTGTCACTGGTGCTCTCCAGAGTGATGCATGGAGCGTGCAACGGAGTCACGCATTGCAGCAGTGCGCGGGGGCTTCCAACTGCCTATTGTCGCTCACTACGGAGCGCACGGATGGGAGCGTGATATGCACGACGGAGTGCGCTGAGGAGTTGAGAGGGAGGGGGCGGGCGGGGCTCACAGGGCGGTGACGGAGCCGTCCTGGCATGTGATACCGGTGGCCCCTCCTGCCACGGCACACACATCGTCCACCTGCCACGACGCCAGCGCCGTACCTGCCTGCCACTGTGCCGCCATGCTCCTCAGAGCTGTCACCCAGCCATGCACGCCCAGGGCAAGGGGAAACACGCGCGGCAAAGGGCGCGAGTGGGCGATAACAAGCGGAAAGGGCAGGGCGTTGTTGACGGGGAGCAGCACTGCGTAACGGCACTCACCGTGCACATACGGTGCCGCTCTCCCGTGCCCTGTGCGCCTACCTTGCGTTTCATTCGTGACGGCGCCGGTGCATGGAACCGTCAGGCTGGCGGCCGTAGCCAGTGCGAGCGCCAACCTTCGCAGCATCGCGCTCTCGCACCTCGCGTCCCGCCGCGCGGCCATAAACGAAGAGAATAACAGAAAATTAAATATAAGTGTTTCCAGGGAGCCAACGGGCCGAAGTTGCGTTGTGGTTGCTCATGATGGCAAAGAAAACATCCAGCTCTACAATCTAGGTTTTGTCTAGCATGCAAACGACGACCTAGTGGTAGGCCCAACTCTGGTCATACCACTCTGCCAGGTTTCATCAAAAGCTTGTGGTGTAAAGAAAACAAATTTGAGTTCTTACAAAAACAAACAGAAAAGCGTTCCAAAATGCAACATGACAATCTGGAATGAAATGTGACACCAACGAAGGGGACACACGAAGTGCGTCTCAAGCTTGTAGGGCAGGGCTTGGTGGGTGTAAGGCGAATTTCAGCGGGAGTGGGGTGTCACTTCACACGACTCGACTACCTCGCCGAATTTAGAAGCGGGGGCAGCGCTGGTCGCTCACTGGCCTTGACTATTGTTCATCCAGTGGCGACGCCACGCTCCCTGCCACAACGCCTGTCGGCCAATCGTCACTCGCTGCAAGTTGCCAGTATCACAGCCGTGCAGTGCACTGTATAGACTGCGGCCGTTTGCGACTCCCGCCACCTGCACTGCATGGATGCCTTCGCACGCGTCCCCCTACCCTGCGCCTGCTCCCTTTCGCCCAACTCTCCCGCCTCCGACTCGCCCATTTCACTGCCCCCGCCGCGCCTGCACGAGCTGCGGGCCTCTCTGCGCGCGCCTGTCTCTGGCGGCCCGCCTCTTTGCGCCCTCGCGCGTGCCGCCTCTTCCGCCCACGCGTCAGTGCCTGCGCTGCGTCCGCAGAATAGCGCCCCTCACCGCCTTTCCCTCCCGCGCGCACGTCCCGCGCACACCACGATCGCGCGCCGTCCGACTCCCGCCCAGTCGGAATTCGGAAGCTTCCGCCTGCATCGTCCACACCTCCGTCCGCGCCCGCAGCGGCGGGCAGGGGCGGTGTGCGCGTCGGCAGAGGAGCCGTTGCGCGGCGGACCAGGGGGCACTGCGGCGAGATCGTGAGGAGGGACGGAGACGCGGCGGGGGGCGACAGCTTGAGCGCGCGGGGAGAGAATTGGACAGGCGGGGCGCGGGGCGCGAGAGCCCGTTCCGGTGGCAGCAGGCGGAGGCAGAGCGCCTATCCGGGGACATGCGCCCGTGGGCAAAAGACAGGGAGGGGCGCGGGGACGGTGGCGAGGGGAGACGAGGCGAGGGCGGTGGCAGTAGCGGCAGCGATGCGGAGGGGGAAGAGGGAGGCATGGGCGGCAGAAGCAGGGCGCGCAGCAGCAGGGGCAGCAGCAGGGCGGAGAGGGGGGGCGTGGTGGTGCGCGGCCCTCTTGGGGCGCAGCAGCAAGACCTCGCGTCCTTCTTCCGCACCCAGCGGACGGGCATAGCGCGCAGGGGCAAGGGCGCAAGCACCAGCCTGTGCGCGTTGACCTCAGCAACAACCACCTGTCCGGGACGAACTCCCAGTTCCTTGGTGCCACCCCTTCTGGTTCCCTGGTGCCACCCCTTCTGGTGACCCCGCTGCTGGAAGCGCAGGGAGCGCGAGCGTGGCGCAGCTGCGGCTGGGAGGCAACGAGCTGTCAGGGTCCATCCCTGACACCCTCTCCACACTCACACAGCTCGTCGCCCTCAATCTCTCCACCAACCGCCTGTTGGGCTCACTGCCCTCAGGCTTGGCGGGCCTGCAGCAGCTGTCGGTGCTGGATGCCTCCTGGAACGCCCTCACCGGCTCCATCCCTTCCACCCTCTCGTCCCTCCACTCCCTCAACCTCTCCTCCAACTTCCTCTCTGGTCCAATCCCCGCCGGCCCACTTTCCGCCTTCCCCGTCACTTCCTATGCTAACAACTCCGCTCTCTGTGGCCTTCCCACTAACGTCTCCTGCTCCCCCTGCCTCCGCCCTCCTCCCCACCTCCGGGAAATTCAGATGGTTTGCCAGCGGCTGCAGTGGCAGGCATTGTGGCAGCGAGTGTGTGTGCGCTTGCCGTGGTGGCAGCAGCACTGTGTGTAGTGGGGAGGAGGAGGGAGGTGGAGAGGAGGAGGCGGCTGAACGGGTACTTGCTGATTGTGAAGCAGGAGCCAGTGAGAGTGACGGTGGAGGGGATATTGGAGGGCACCAAGAGCTTCAGTGACACCATGCTGCTTGGGAAGGGCGGCCTTGGCATTTACAAGTAAGGCTGGGGGTCTACGCCCCCAACGTGTGCGAAATTGCTGGAAACAGGTTTTTTACGATTGAGTGTGATGCGACAAGGTAAGAATTGCAACCACAGCATGCATTTTCTTGCTCACGTGACCGCTGCACGACCCACATGAATGCTAACTCCTTCCCGCATCACACTGTCCCTTCACTCATGTTTCCCGTCCGTTTGCCTTCCTGCCCCCCTCTCCCCCCCGTGTGCGGCACCAGGTGCAATGTGCCCGGCACGCAGTGCACGCTGGCCATCAAGAGGCTCCATTCGTCGCTGCCCCTGCTGCACTCTGCCTCTCCCGCTACCACGGCCATGGGCAAGGGGGCAAGAAGGCCAAGGGGGCCAAGGGGGTTTCAGGGGAGGAGGCGAGGGAAAAAGCGGAGCAGCAGGCGAACAAGGAGGTGCAGGCGAACAAGGAGATGCAGGCGAACAAGGAGGTGCAGGCGAACAAGGAGGTGCAGGCGAACAAGGAGGTGCAGGCGAACAAGGAGGTGCAGGCGAACAAGGAGGTGCGCACGCTGGGGCAGCTGGTGCGGCTTTACGGGGCGTATGTGAACGTGGCGGCAGGCGACAGGTCGCTCATCTATGAGTACATTGCTGGGGGCAGCTTGGAGGCTTAAAAAATGGGAGGCGAGGCTGAGCATTGCGATGGGGTTGACCAAGGCGCTCGCCCCACATCATTCACCGCGACATAAAGCCCTCCAACATACGTGTGGTGCAGTCAAGGAGTGCTCATGGGGGGCAAGAGGGTAGCAGTAGTGAGGGCAGCACGGTGGTGAGTGGGTCCGGAACAGGGAGTGGTAGTGGATCAGGAGGGATAACCGAGTCCGGCAGTGGCAGTGGGACGGGGAATGATAGGGTGACAGAGAAGGGTAATGGTGTAAATGAGAACAGTGGTAGTGGTAGCAGTGGTGCGTGCAGCAGCATCAACAGAGGTACCTACACAACCTATGGCAAGCCATGCAAGGTTGATGTGACGCCTTCAGCAATCGCTAGTAGCATCGACAACAGCACTGCAAGCGAGCCTGCAACAGCAGCCAAAGTCATCTGGGGCAGCTCCATTGCTTCCTTCCGCTCTTCTCTTTCCACCACTGCCCTCTTACGCTTTTCCCAAACCTCCAAGCCTGCACAGCCTCCCTTGCCCTCTGTCTCCTCCGGCCCTCATCTGCTTCACCGCGAGCCTTTCAAGCTTGAATCTCTCTCCTCTCAAGCAACCTTTCATCCACCCCCGTCTTCTTCAACCCAAGCATCTGCACCGTCACTGCCATCACCGCACCCCTCCTCCACCACTCTTTCCTCTGCATCCCTGCCGGCTGCCCAACACACGTTCACGGTGCGGGTGGCGGGCTTTGGGCTGGCATGGCAGGTGGGCGTGCGGGCGGCACACATGTCCACGGCCGTGCTAGGCACGTATGGCTACATGGCGCCAGAGTACGCGCAGCAGGGGAGGGCCACCACAGTGGGGGAGCATGCTACAGATGTGTTTGCATTCGGGGTGGTGCTGCTGCAGCTGGTGTCGGGGCGATGGCCGTACGACGAGGAGGTGGAGGACAGGGGGCTGGCCAGGTGGGTCTTGTCGTCGCCTGTTTGTGCCGTGCTGGACCCGCTGCTGGGGCCATGTGCAGTGAGATAAGGGTCTAGCAGAATTTCGGTACTCGGTTGGTTGTAGACAGAGGTGGAAGATACCTTAGACTTGTACCGCATGAATCACATTGCACTACAAGTCAGCATAGGACCAATTTCCCCTGAACCTGTTTTACACAGTGTAGTGTGGTATTATTAAATAAATCGCAAGCTGTCCCTTGTCATCCCACAAGTGGGCTAAACACTTTTCAGTAGCGACGTTTTGTGAAAGCTGCTTCATCACATGTGGTGCTGCAGTGAGTTTTGCTTCCTGGGATACTTCACTTTGGAATCTATTTCCCTCAACTCAACGCCATTTCAGAGTACCGGTACCCGTCATTCGTAGTGCACCTGGAAAACGATGCACATGCCTAACATGCCTCGCAGTGAGTGCACTGCACAATTCCACCAGTCTGCTGCGGTATACAGAGGCACTTGGGCACATCACACTGCAGCTACACAAGTCCTCAGTTGTCCGCATGGCAGTCTGGTCTGTTGGATGGCAGTTTGACGCTGGTGTGGTGACCAGGCAATGGAAGTAACCGGAGGCGGGTGGGGGGGAAGAGCGGCAGGGACAAGAGCGATACAGGGCAGGCCCTCAGATTCACTTTTAGGGACGTTGATGCATCAGGGTCCCTGTGAAAAAAAACCTGAATTTCCAGGGTTCCAAAAAAAAAAAGGCCTGAATTTTCAGGGTCCCTAAGAAACAGCCTGAGTTTCAGCCTGAATCTATCGGGTGTTTTACGGGAAGGATTCGGAATGTGCATTCAGTGTACACTTCGATAAAAGACTGAAAAATCAGTGTTAGCTTTGAAATAAAGGCTGAAAAATCAGTCACAAAAATCTCAACACTGAAAAATCAGTGTAGGTACACAAAACTAGGCTGAAAATCAGGAATTTCAGGGAAAAATTCATGGGGCCTGATACAGGGCCAGGTGTGCTGCACAAATCACCTGGAGGGAACAGGTTTTGTCGGGGGTGGGAGGGAAAGTGGGGAGGAGGTGGGTGTTGTGCGAGCACTTGCCCGACAGTCCAAAATGTCTAATCACATTGGCGTTCGGCCACAGAGACAAGCACATTCGTCTACTCTACACTGCCATGAGAATCCCGCGAAGTTATTCAGCCTAGGCGAAGTCACGCAAGATGGGAAATGACGTGCCCCACTGAGCCAACACGATGCCTAAGCCTGACCATGGTTCAAGAGGAGAGAGAACTGGTGCATGAGTTGAGGCTGGGAAGCAGAGCAGCAGCAGGAGAACAACAACACCAGCTCCAACTGCTGCAGCGCCGTCATCCTCCCCACGGAATCTCCCCCATCAGCGGCGCGAGAAGGGAGGAGGAAAGAATACGCTACGAACTGTTAGAAACCTATTGAGAAGGATGGTCGATTAGGTAAGGGGGAGGGTAAAAGAGTATTGAGAGAATGGTTGTACCCTCTAGTGATAACCCCTACACAGCCTACAAAGCTAGAAACATATAAAATGTTTTGACACACCCCCATAGGTGAAGAAGGGGATAGCCAAACCTAACAGTGGTCACAAGACCAGTCAAGCAAGAGAACAAGCAAGGCAAAGCCCAGGGTGGATCTCAGGGACACCACACAGTCTGAGCACAAGCAAGCGGCCACAAGGCCAGTTCACATGCAGAGTTATAATAGCAAGGCAGTACACTGATGACAACCTAGCAAGAGAAAGCAAGCAGGTATAAAGATATATATCAGTGTACAACAAGTACAAGTCAAGCAACCAGCAGGTGAGGCAGAGTGGGCACAAGCCCAAGAGCAGTGCAGAAACGCTGATGATCACCAGACCCAAGGGCCTTGGTGAAGACATCAGCAGTGTTGGCACGAGAGGCCACGTAAGCAAGGCGCAGCTGACCACGCTGCTGCAGCTCCCGAGCAAGAAAGTAACGAAGAACAATGTGCTTTGTTCTGTGCTCCAGTCTTTGCTCGCGACACAAGGCAAGCATTGCCTTGTTGTCGCCGTACAGAACTGGAGGAGAACGAGGCCGCTCCCCCAAGTCGGTCAGCAGGTAGGTCAGCCAGCATAGCTCCTGTGCAGCCATGGCCTCAGCGTAGATCTCGGCCTCACAGCTGGAACCAAGCACAGAAGAAGAACGAGTGGACCTCCACGAGAAAGAACCAGAGCCAAGACTGAAGGTGTAACCCTGTGACGAACGCTGAGTTGCCTGGTCGTCGGCCCAAGAAGCGTCAGAGTGTCCTGTGAGTACCAATGGACTCTGTCCTCCAAGCACGAGCCCTATGCCCGATGTACTGCACAGTAACGCAGTACCTTCTTCGCAGCATCAAAGTGCACCTTTTGGTGTCTACTAGGTGCCACGTAGCGAGCCAAGAGGCTGAGAGGGTACGCGAGGTCAGGTCGTGTGCACGTCATCAGGTACATGAGGCAACCCACAAGTTATGGGTACGGACCACTCGGCTCTACGGACTCGTCCGAAGGTGGAGCTGAGAGCGAGTGACCGGTAGACAGAGGAGTGGGCTGTGGCAAGGAGTACCGGAAGCGGAAGCGCTGGAGGACCTGGTGCACCATGTGTGACTGGGTCAGGGTGATGGTGCGCCGTGCTCTGTCCCGGATGATCTGCAAGCCAAGATAGCTGCGCAGCTCACCCAGGTCAGTGCAGGTGTGTCTCTCCTGCAGCTCCGCCTTCACTAGGGCCAGCACCTCAGTGTCAACAGTAGCAAAAACCAAGTCGTCGACGTACACAAGAACGTAGAATGATGGCAGGGTAGTGTCGATGCGCAGAAACAGCGACGGGTCAGCAGTCGAAGGAGCAAACCCAAGAGCCGCAAGTGTAGTCCTCAGTGTGTCGTGCCACTCGCGAGGTGCCTGACGGAGGCCGTACACTGGTCGCCGTAGGCTCCACTGGCTACCCTCAGGAAACGACCCAGTGAAGCCACGTGGACGGCGCAGCCAGATGGCCTCGTGAAGGCTGCCCTACAAGAAAGCTGTCGAGAAGTCGAGGGAGTGCAGCTCGTAGTCACGCTGAGCTGCAACGTGTAGCAACACCCGAAGAGTGGTCATCTTTGGGGTGGGGGAGAAGGTTTGAAAGAAGTCGACCCCCTTACGCTGACTGAAGCCTCGAGCAACGTAACTTGCCTTGAAGGCAGGCGGAGAACCCAGCGGCCGCTTCACCCTGAAAATCCGCATGCCACTGACGATGTTCGCCCCAGGTGGGGGAACCTCGTTGACATAGGTGCCTGTGGACTTCCAGGAAGCCATCTCTGCGTCCATGGCTGTCTGCCACTGAGAGGAATACTCACCCGAGATCGCCTCTCTGTAAGAGCGCGGGGTGGGGATGTCAAGTGCATCCGGGTCTCCCTCAGGGACAAGCAGCATGGTCGCAAGATGGGGTGCAGCGGCCGCAAGACACTCCAGCTCCTCTTGTCTGTCTTCAAGAACGTCATAGCCAAGGGCAACCTCACCCCCGACGGATGGAGGACAGGCAGGGTCAGGGTCACAAACAAGACTCGCAAGGTAGTCTAGGCGGTGCGCAGCAGCAAAGTCAACTAGCTCAGCGACTAAGGCGGACACAGCAGGAACGAGAACGTTGGGTCCGTCACAACTGTATCAAGAAAACGAGTGACAGTCGGACTGGAAGCACGAGCAAGGTCAGAATGAGGGTCAGCAATGTCAGGAAGAGAAGACGCAGGAGGTGACGGAAGGAAAACACGCTGTGGAACAGAGGAAGGACGGAGTGTCATATCTTGAGTGCCTGGGACAGGTGGAGCACGAGGACGACGCACACGACGAACATGAGCAGGAACGGAAGCTCTAGTCTCAGTCTCTCGACGGTGAGGAGAGGAAGTACGAGTCTCAGGCTCACGACGCTCAGTAAGGGACTCGGTCACAGCAGTGTAAGGAGCAGGAGCAGGCAGTGGGGAGTGAGGCAGTAGCTGTGGGAACAGCAACGGAGGAGTAGTACCAGCGACTGGGAACTCAGTGGGAGCTGGCAGAAGACCAAGAAGGTGGCGAAGCGCACCAGCCGGTCCAGCACCTCCAGTAGTGGCAGCTCCAGCACCTCCAGCACCAGCAGCACCTCCAGCACCTCCAGCACCTCCAGCACCAGCAGCACTAGCAGCTCCAGCACCTCCAGCACCAGAAGCACCTCCAGCACCAGCAGCACCTCCAGTACTAGCAGCTCCAGTACCTCCAGCGGTACCTCCAGCACCTCCAAGACCTCCAGCACCTCCAGCACGAGCAGCTCCAGCACCTCCAGCACCTCCAGCACCAGCAGCACTAGCAACTCTAGCACCAGAAGCACCTCCAGCACCAGCAACACCTCCAGTACTAGCAGCTCCAGTACCTCCAGCACCAGCAACAGCTCCGTCACCTCCAGCAGTACCTCCAGCACCTCCAGGACCTCCAGCACCTCCAGCACCAGCGGCACCTCCAGCACGAGCAGCTCCAGCACCTCCAGCACCAGAAGTACCTCCAGCACCAGCAGCAGCTCCGGCACCTCCAGCAGTACCTCCAGCACCTCCAGGACCTCCAGCACCTCTAGCACCAGTGGCACCTCCAGCACGAGCAGCTCCAGCACCTCCAGCACCAGAAGCACCTCCAGCACCAGCAGCAGCTCCGGCACCTCCAGCAGTGCCTCCAGCACCTCCAGCACCAGCAGTACCTCCAGGACTAGCAGCTCCAGCACCAGCAGGACCGTACCCTCCACCACCAGGACTGCCTCGCCGAAGGATCCACGCACGAATCACCTGTGGCGAGAGCGTCTCAAGTAGATCAGGCTGCAGTGGCTGTCCAGATCCAGGACCTCCAGCAGGGTCACCCACAGCTCCACCGCCACTAGGACTCACAGCACCCCTAGAGTCAGCACCCCCAGTCGCAGCACCCCCAGAACCAGCACCCCCAGATCCCTCACCCTCTGTCTCAGCACCCCCAGGCTCAGCACCAGCAGTCTCAGCTCCAGAGTCCACAGCAGCAGGCTACGGAGGCGGCGAAGACGGCCGAGGTGGAAAACCAGGGGGGGTCACCAAGCGTG